CAAACTCAGTGCCTAGTGTGAGGGGCATCTCTTGTCTGAAAATGTCATTTTGATTTCAGAGGAAAACTAAAACTGTATTTTGCATGTCATTTTGAGGTTTTATGCTACATTTATATATATATACATTTTCAGTTACACTATGATTAAATGGAGTTAATTTTGTTAGTGTTGGTTCCAACAATGGGTGCAGATGATGAAGCTAACCTTGTGGCAGCTCTGTCGGGCCACACTGCTGTACCTGTTGCCACCAGTAGTTGGAGCACGCAGGCCTTCTCTGAGAGAAGCAGGGCCGGCAGTTGGCTGGAGGTGATTTCACAGCTCTGATGTGCAGGTTGGGGCAGGATTTTTGAGGTTGCTCTTTTGCCGCATCACCGTCCCACAGGATCTCTTTCAGCAGATTTCTGAATGCTAGTTTTCCCAAGTTCGATTGTAAAGAGATGCTTATTTAGATTTCTGACACGGCCTTTTAGTTAGAGAATGATTGGCAAGGTACTTGGGTAGATGTAAAAACAATACAAAAGTAAAAGCACTAGCATAACCCACAGCAAGTGTAACTGACATACGATTGCTCGCTGTTATTTATTTTTACATCATTGGTGTGAATGGATATGTATGAAATATGTTCACAAGATAGTTCTGGGTATTTCTTACAAAATCAGTGGAAAAGGTGTGTCAGATGTGTTGCTTTAACACTGGAAGCAAGCAGTAGGCTTGCATGTCCAAGTCCCCTGGGTACTTCTCAGCCTTGACCTTACTTAATTCCTCTGTGCAATTTGACTTCCGTCTGTGACCTCCAAGATGTCCTACTCTGCTTCTTCTCCTCCTAAGAGAGGCCTCTCTGCCGGTGCCTCTCCCGTGCCCTGTGCTTCCACGTGGGTATCATGGAGGCCCGACCTCCAGCACTGTACCCCTTGCTGGTACCCTCCATCAGGAAATGTGTGGTGTTTTGTTTGATTGTTTTTCTGAGCCACAAGTCCTCACTTGCCATTTCCCTCCCTTGCTTCTTAGACCATGTCCATTTACTTTGACACAGCTCTGATCAGCTCTGCTCTGGACACTTCTGGCCAGCAGACATTAAGAGTCCAGGGCACTGAGGATGAAAAAATCATTACATTTACATAGTAATAAAAGTTATAGAAAAAATAAAAGTTATATAAAAAAAAAGTGTATGCAGTTGGATTGCTTAACACTGCATATATAGAAATTTAATCTTATTTTAAATATTTCATAAGATGCATGCTAACACATTGGAGACATGGGCAGTGTTTAACTGCACAAGAAAACAGCCTCAGGATCTGGTGCAGGGTTGAATACTGCCAAGAGCCAGCCCAGGCCCAGCAGTGATGCCTCTTGGAGATGCCTTCCAGTTCCTGTCAGTTCTTCCAGCCTGTCTTGCTTCACTGTTGTCACTGGTCTCTTCTCAGTGTCTGTCTGTCTGTCTCTTTCTTTCTTCTTCTTTTGTAAAGATTTATTTATTTGAAAGGCAGAGTTACAGAGAGGCAGAGAGAGAGGGAGAGAGGTTTTCCATTGGTTGGTTCACTCCCCAAATGTCTGCAACAGCTGAAGCTGCACCAATTCGAAGCCAGGAGCCTCCTTCAGGTCTCCCACATTGGGTGCAAGGGCCCAAGGACTTGGGCCATCTTCTGCTTTCCCGAGAGCATTAGCAGGGAGCTGGATTGGAAGTGTAGCAGCCAGGACTCGAACCAGCGCCCATAGGGGATGCCAGCACTGCAGGCAGCAGCCTTACCCACTACACCACAGTGCTGGCCCCTCAGTGTTTCTAATCATTACGGGAAAGCTACTAAGAATTTAGAAATCAGATACACTTCTGAATTGTTGTGAGCTATCTGTGTAAAGTACCCCTTAATGGAACTGTTGTATAAGACATTTGTATGAGATCCTGGAGACGTACAGGACAGAAGGAGCTCCCACGCCCCTTGCGACATAGGCCAGGGAAGCCTTCCTGTAAGTGCCTTGCTTATTGGTGACTTAAGGGGTGAGACGGAGGTGGGATGCTCTGTGCAAACACTATAGCACTGTTGGTAACCACAGGAGTTGCTTAGCCTTGGGGTATGGCAGGCAAGGAAGACTTGGGCTGGAGGAAACTCAGCAGAGCTTAATGTGGCTGGAAGCTATATATGTTGATTGTGTGCTGGTTCACAGCTACTGACAGTGTGAATCAGAGGAATGGCACAGTCAGGTGTATGGTTTAGAACGAAGTTGCTGGTGGCAGGATCCTCACTTCATTAAGTGCTGCCCTGCTCTCCGTGTTCTCTGGCATCAAAGTCAGCTTGATGAAAACATGACCGGAGCCTGCGCTGTGGCATAGCTGGTCAAAGCAGCCAACTGCCGTGCCAACATCCCATATGGGCACCAGTTCGAGACCGGCCTGCACCACTTCCAATCCAGCTCTCTGCTATGGCCTGGGAAAGCAGTAAAAGCTTGCCCAAGTCCTTGGGCCCCTGCAGCCACATTGGAGACCTGGATTTAGAAGCTCCTGGCCTTGGGTTGGCCCAGCTCTGGCCATTGCGGCCATTTGGGAGATGAACCAGCAGGTGGAAAACCTCTCTCTCTCTCTCTCTCTCTCCCTCCCTCCCTCCTCTCTGCCTCTGTAACTTTGCCTTTCAAATAAATAAATAAATCTTTATTTAAAAAAAAAAAAAAACCACCGGACTAATCCTATTAATCCCAGCTCAACCCTTGAAGTGACTCTCAGATATGAGAGTCCAGTTTTTCACCAGTACCTTGAGGAGACTCGCAGTTTGCTGTCTTAGACGTTCTGTCATCAGACCTCACTTGGGTCACTCCACTTCCTTCTCGCTATCTGCTATCTGTACTAGCGACTCCATCGTTCCTTAGTTCCTTAACTTGCTTCTGTCCTTCAACTGGAATTGAGCTCCAGGAGGTCAAGAGTTGCTATGTTTGTTCATTGCTCAGGGCAGCAGGTAGCGCAGGGTCAGAATTCAGGGTTTGGTGAAAGGACGTGGCCCCAGCCATCTTCCCCACTCTGCCTCTTTTGCCTTGTACTTCTCACTTCCCATGAGAGACTTCTCATACTTCCTCATGAATCCTGTTTGCCTTTCAAGACCCATCACAGAGGCCACCTCTTCTATAAACATCTTGTTTCAAGTGGCTGCTCCTATTCCTTAGCTTCTGTAACAGCTTTTGAGTATTTACTAAGAGAATGTTTTCCTAGGCTGCCCAGGATGTGGTAGGTACAAATTTTTTGACTAGGTATTAACTAGTAAGGAATTATATAGTGAAGTAGACAAGCCTATAAGTAAGGATGAAGTTTGGTTGGTAAATTGGAGAAATGCAGTAATTAGATATTTAATTTAATTATAAATACAGTATGATTAAGGGGAAATAGCTAGGGAAACAATCACCAATTTCTGTTAAATATTCAGTTATGCAAATAGTCTAGAGGAAGTATATTGTCAGTTCATTAACTTTTTTTGGTATAAGTGACATAAGCTGTAATAGAGAAAAATAGAGGAGTGCTAAAGAAATTACTTGCTGGTGACAGTGTGAAAAGTATGCTAAATTCCATACTTATTTTTCTTTATCTTTCTCCACATACTGGGTTGAAACAAATTGTCTAAAAATCTTTTGATTGACTCCATTAATAGCACTATACTCATTTCTGCTTTATAAGAGAATATAATTCCAAATGAGTTGTTAAAAATATCTTTGTTGTAGGGATACTCTGTAGTGCTAATGGGAAGGCATAGAGGCAGAATCCCCAAATCACATTGCTTGTTTTTCCAAGCAATCATCCCTATCTTTCAGCATGGATGTCTGATGTGTAAATTCACTGATTTATTTCTGTTCTAAAATCCTGACTAAGGCCTTTGTGTGAAGTTGTTCAGTTTCTCATTTCTGAGCTCAACTCTTACTCATACTCATAAGTATCTTTTCATTTAAAAAATGTTTATTTATTAGAAAGGCAGAGGGACAGAAAGAATAACAGAGACAGATATTCCATCCACTGATTCACTTCCCATACCAAAGACAGAAGCTGGGAACTCAATCTGGGTCTCCCATGTCGGTGGTGGGGACCCAAGGACTTGAGCCATCACCTGCTCATGTGTATTATCAGGAAGCTAGAAGCAGAGCAGGACTTGAACCCAGGCACTCCAGTATTGGATGCAGACTGCCCAAGTGGTATCTTAACTGCTGCAGCAACCCCAACTCCTTATAAGTAACTTTTCTCTGATGAAAATCATGGTAAATTGTTGGGGCTTCACTGAGCTTTCCAACTGATATACAAGCTATGAAAGTTAATAATTAAATAGAATTACTGCCCAGTCATAAAAATGAAAATTGCCAGTAACCACAGTAAACCTCTAATATTTGTCAATAAACAAGCACCAATAACTAAATTAAGTTTAATTATTTTTAAAATATTTGATGTCCACATTAGATGGCTGTAAAACCATCTGTCAGAAGGGTTTTGGGAAGTAATCATTTCTCAAAAATAAATAAAGTAAATACAGTAATAATAAAATAATAAAAAATTTAAAATATAGGAAGCTGGGGATGCTCAAAATATACTTTTTATTTTGGATTTTCTTGTTAATGTACAATATGAATAATGCTAAAGTACTTTTTGTGGAAGATAGCAAAGAAGGCATGATTTTCACATAATTTATTGTAGATTCCTTTTACTTCCTTCCCTTGACAATGACTAATTGTGTTTGAGGGGAAATCATCCTAATTGTTCATTGAGAATCACTTTATTACAAATGTGTAAAGTTATAAGTTGGATTTATCATTTTCCTGTGACCACTTCATAAGCTTTGTACTGAGGCACATGGAGGATTTTATCCCTTATTTTTCTTAAGATATGAAAGGAAGATTTTGGAAAGATTTATGTAAACTTGAAGTAGACTTTAAGTTTTTTATATTAGAGAAATATTTGAGGAAATGTTATCATGTAACATAAATTTACCCCTTTTATTTTTTAAAAGGATTTTTAGGGTATTTTGTTTGTTTTTCAGAGTAAAGCCAATCCCAGCTGAAGGAATCAAGTCAAATCCTTCCAAGCGACATAGAGACCGGCTTAACACAGAATTGGACCGTTTGGCTAGCCTGCTGCCTTTCCCACAAGATGTTATTAATAAGCTGGACAAACTTTCTGTTCTTAGGCTCAGTGTCAGCTACCTGAGAGCCAAGAGCTTCTTTGATGGTAAGTTAGAAGAATTTGGAAGATGCTTACATTAAAATGGCTGTTTCTATGTTTAAAAACAGTTTTGTTAAGTGGCAAAACCAAATGTATAATAATTCCTAAAATCAGCTTTCCAGTTTCATCATCAAACAGGTACAGCCATTTAAATAATATATGGTATAATTCTTTGAAAGTCATATATGTTGAAGTTAGGCTGAAATTAAGTATGTCCAATTGCTTAATTATTCCCTTTCTCCCTCCAATTCCATTTTTTAAAGTCTCTTTTTAAAAAATAAGGAATAAGGAAACTTTTTTCAGTATTTTTTATTTATATAAGGTGAATAAACTTCATGTATTTCATATATATATATATATATATATATACAGATTTTGGAGCATAATTATACTTCCCACCCCACCCCCTTCCTTTCTTTTTCTTTTAATTTTTACAATGATATACGTTCAGTTTATTTTATAAGCTTAACCCTCCACTAAATAAAGAATTCAACAAATAGTAAGAAGGAAAAAACACTGTTCCTCAACAGTAGAGATAAGGGCTGTAAACAATAATCAAATTTCAAAATGTCAATTTCATTCATATACTTTACATTTTTTTGTACTTTATTAGTTACCAAAGATCAGGAAAAACATATGATACTTATCTTTTTGGGACTGCATTATTTCACTGAGCTAGTTTCCAGCTACATCCATTTCATTGTAAAAATCAGGATTTCATTCTGTTTTATGGCTGAGAGGTATTCCACAGTGTATATATACCATAATTTCTTTATCTAGTCATCAGTTGATGAACATTTGGGTTGATTCATTATCTTAGCTATTGTGAATTGAGCTGCAATAAACATGGGGGTACAGATAACTCCTTCATATGCTGATTTCATTTCCTTTGTTCATTTCCCAGGAGTGGGAGGGCTTGGTAATAGAGTAGATCTATTTTCAGATTTCTGAGGAATCTCCATACTGTCTTCCACAGTGGCTGTAACAGTTTACATTCCCACCAACAGTGGATTAGTGTACCTTTGTCCCCACATACTTGCCAGCATTTATTGTTTTTTTTTTTTTTTTTTTTTATTTTTGTATAAAAGCCATTCTGATGGGGCGAGGTGAAATCTCATTGTGGTTTTATTTGCATTTTCCTGTTGGCTAGTGATACTGAGCATTTTTTCATGTGCCTGTTGACCATTTGAATTTCATCTTTCAAAAATACCTTTTCAAGTCCTTTGCCCATTTTTTATCTGGATTGTATTGTTATTGAGTTTCTTGAGCTCTTTATCAATTATAGATATTAATCCATTATCAGTTACATAGTTTGCAAATATTTTCTTCCATTTTGTCAGTTGCCTCTTCACTTTGTTGAGTGTTTCTTTTGCAGTACTGAAGCTTCTCAACTTGAGGTAATCTCATTTCTCTATTTTGGCTTTGATTACCTGTGCTTCTGGGGTCTTTTCTAAGAAGTCTTTGCCTATGCCAATGTCTTACAGAGTTTTCCCAATGTTCTTCTCTAGTAATTCGATGGTATCAGGTTGTAGATTTAGATCCTTGATCCATTTTTGAGTAGCTTTTTTTGGTGTAAAGTGTACAGAATGGGTCTTATTTCATACTTCTGCACATGCAGATCCAATTTTCCCAGCACCATTTGTTGAAGAGACTGTTCTTTCTCCAGGGATTGGATTTTGCTCTTTTGTCAAAGATTAGTTGGTTATAGATAGTGGATTGATTTCTGGGATTTATATTCTGTTCTGTCGGTCTACGTGTCTATTTTTATGCAAAGACCAGGCTGTTTTGATTATAATTGCCCTATAGTATGTCTTGAAATCTAGTATTGTTATGCCTCCAGCTTTGTTTTTGTTGTTTAAGATTGCTTTAGCTATTCAGAGTCTCTTGTGTTTCCATATGAACTTTAGCATCGCTTTTATAGATCTGAGGAGAATGTTGTTAGCATTTTGACTAGGATGCCATTGAATCTGTAAATTGTTTTCTGGAGTATGGGCATTTTGATGTTATTCTTCCAATGCATGACCATGAAACATTTTTCCATTTTTTTGTTTATTCTTCTGTTTCTTTAATGTTTTGTAATTTTCATCATAGAGATCTTTCACCTCCTTGGTTAAACTTATTCCAAGGTACTTAATTGTTTTTTGTAGCTATTGTGAATGGGACTAATCTTGCAGGTTCTTTCTCAATCATCTCATTGAGTGTGTATATAAAGGCTATTGATTTTTGTATTTTAATTTTATATCCTGCCACTTTACCAAACTCTTAGGAGTTCCAGTTGTCTGTTAGTTCTCCTATATGTAGAATCATGTCATGCAAATGGGGATAATTTGACTTCCTCTTTTCCAATTTGTATCCCTTTTATTTCTTTTTCTTGCCTAGTGACTCTGGCTAAAACTTCCAGAACTCTATGAATAGCAATGGTGAAAGTGCACATCCTTGTCTGGTTCCAGATCTTACTGGAAATGCTTCCAGCTTTTCCCCCTTCAATACGATGCTTACCGTGGGTTTGTTGTATATTACCTTGATTGTATTGAGAAGTGTTCATTCTATACCCAATTTGCTTAAGGTTTTTATCATGAAAGGATGTTGTATTTTATCAAATGTTTTCTCACATCTGTTGAGATAATCATATGGTTTTTATTTTTCATTTTTTAATGCAATGTATCACATTGTTTGATTTGCATATGTTGAACCATCCCTGCATACCAGGGATAAATCCCACTTGGTCTGGGTGAATGATCTTTCTAATCATTCTGATCATCTGTTGTTGCATTTCATTGGCTGGTATTTTCTTGAGGATTTTTGCATCTATGTACATCATTTGTATTGGTCTGTAGTTCTTTTTTCTCTGTTGTATCTTTTTCTAGTTTTGAAATTAAGGTGATGCTGGCCTCACATAGGAGTTTGGGAGGATTCCTGCTCTTTCAGTTGTTTTGAGTAGTTTGAAAAGAATTGGAATTAGTCCTTTAAAAGTCTGGTATAGTTTGGTGATGAAGCCATATAGTCCTGGGATTTTCTTTGTTGGAATGGTTTCTTTTTCTTTTTTTTCTTTTTTTTTATCTCTATAGGACAGCGTGGACAGTGAGAGAGAGAGACAGGGAGAAAGGTCTTCCTTTACCTTTGGTTCACCCTCCAATGGCCGCTGCGGCCAGCGCACCACGCTGATCCGAAGCCAGGAGCCGGGTGCTTCTCCTGGTCTCCCATGGGGTGCAGGGCCCAAGCACTTGGGCCATCCTCCACTGCACTCCCTGGCCACAGCAGAGAGCTGGCCTGGAAGAGGGGCAACCGGGACAGAATCCGGCGCCTGGACCGGGACTAGAACCTGGTGTGCCGGCGCCGCTAGGCGGAGGATTAGTCTAGTGAGCCGCGGCGCCGGCCCCTATGTGTACTTTTAATCCTAGATTAAGTATGTTTAGGAGATGCACTTTAACAGTTCTTTCCACTAGAAAAAGCATCGCTGTGTAATTAGATTTCATTGTCCTTTGTGCCACTGACAAACTAACTGTTGGGCTTTAACCAAAGCAGGCAGTATCCCTCTTCCTAAGTTTACTCAGCTAACAGAGTGAGGGTTTTGAGATAGGTGGGTGTAGTGCTGTTTGTCACCTTTTAATAATGCAGAATTTCAGCATCACAAAGTATTTTAAATGGAAGTTTCTGTTTGGAAATCATAGTTTTGTGTGTTTCCTCATTTAAAATAATTCCTTGACTTTCATCTGGTTGTAAGCCAGAAATAGATTTTACAAGAAGTTTCTTTTCCAAATGTCAGGTTATTTTATACTTCACAGACTTTAGTAACAGAGTGAACCTGCATGGCTGTGTCAGTACTTCTCAGGCCTTAATGTGCATTCAGGTTCTAGTAGGGGTCCATTAAGATGCAGATCCGGCCTGCTCCGCGGCTCACTAGGCTAATCCTCCGCCTAGCGGCGCCGGCACACCAGGTTCTAGTCCCGGTCAGGGCACCGGATTCTGTCCCGGTTGCCCCTCTTCCAGGCCAGCTCTCTACTGTGGCCTGGGAGTACAGTGGAGGATGGCCCAAGTGCTTGGGCCCTGCACCCCATGGGAGACCAGGAGAAGCACCTGGCTCCTGCCATCGGATCAGCGCAGTGCGCTGGCCGCAGCGCGCCGTCCGTGGCGGCCATTGGAGGGTGAACCAACAGCAAAGGAAGACCTTTCTCTCTGTCTCTCTCTCTCACTGTCCACTCTACCTGACAAAAAATAAAAAAAAATAAATAAATAAAGATGCAAATCCTTACTCAGTAGGTGTAGGTATGAACTGAGATTTTGCATTCCTAAAAAGTTCTCATACTACTGGTTTAAATCACAAGGAAGTGTTGTACCTATTTAATGTATTTGCTGATACTTGAGTTTGTAATTTATGTTTAGAATATTATAAAATACTTAATTTTTCTTTGAGTTTATGTTGCCCTGTTTTGGTGTCTTTAGTCTGAGCATTCTAGTTATTTGCTTGCTTACATGTACTTTCTCTGGTATGGGGAACAGACACACACTTACTTGTAACTTCATGGAAAATTCATATTTACAGATTTCATAGTGGACTTTTCCAGTTTTCTCTAATGTATATCTAAAAAGGCTTTCCAGCTTAATCCTGGAGATGTGTTATACACTATTAAGTGGACTGTCTGTGGCTGTGTTTATCAGCTGTTTGGTCATTTTGTGTTAGAGCTGAAACTAGAACACTAGTTTCCAGATTCCTGGTATATGGTTTTTTCTTTTCCTCACCATATCTCAGTTACTTCTTTTTTTTAGGATCCTTATATAGCAAAGCTCTGAGGATTTTCCCCAAGATCTGTGGTCCTCAGAGGCGTAGTTCCCAGACTAGCAGGATCAGAATTACCTGGGAACTTCTGAGAAATGCAAATTCTTGAGCCTCCACACCTACCTGTAGAATCATAAACTCTGATGCTGAGGCTAGACACCTGCTGAAATTTGGAAACCACCACTGTAGGTTGTGGCTCCCAGCTCCGTGGAATGGCGCCCTGATCCTT